ACTATAGTTATTCGACGAAATCATACAACTTTCCTCGACACATTCTTTTGTGGTGCCAGAAAGAATGAAGATGCGAAGGTGAATAAGATAAGCGAAATACAGTAGTACCGCGCTTAATGGACACAAGCTCAGGTCCGCGTTGCGACAGTTATCGAGTGAGGTAAATGTTCCGGGAATTGGTAAAACTGCTGTTTAAGGTACCCACCTTCGATGATCTTGACCTTGACCTTGTCAAGGTCACCCTTTGAGTGACCTTCAGAAGGTTTTACCAAGCTACTGGCACTTTTATTAATACAGTGGACTCTAACTATATTGCCATGTTTGGGGCTATAGGGGGGTAAAATGACAATGAGTTCAGAGCCCCCTCTATGCTAAGTTCTATCGTCATATCCTCGGCCTCAGCGCATGCGCAAAAGCTATATCGTGCTGGTGCGCCGGCATACGCAACGTGGTGGGAGAGCGAATTTGTGTGCTCAAAAGTACGTGTGAAGGGGAAGTGCCTCGCGTGGAAATATGGTTAGTGGCAATATAGTTACAATCCACTGTATATTTAAGTTTAGTACGAGTTATACTAAAATAGAAAAAAGAAATTTCGCTCATTTTACACCTTTACACATTCTTACATATTAAAAAGTACCCTGTCATCCTAATATACGTCAATATTGTATAAATTAAATTTTAAATGAACATTTCTTACTACCGCAAGCGTACCATGTAAGTTAGCTAAATAATGTAAAAAAATTTGTAACCCAATGAACAGTCCGCATATTTTTCACCAGAAAACAGTTTCATACGGGATGCTGTTTAATTCAGAATATTCTAGGATATTAGTGATAAATACTCAAAATACAGAGGCAATGAAATTATTTGCATGCAATAAAAATTGTAAGTAGAAGCAGCTTTGATGACCATAATTAATTTGACGTCTAATTACAGATGGAGTAGAAGTCATGGACACGGTGTATCAGGTGGTACGCAACGTGATGTAATCGATTATCGTACTGGTTACATAAAATCGCACCTTCGTTCGCCCTCGGGAAGAGTCAGGTGACTAAGTGATTGGTGGACATTTGAGACAGTCGTGATGCAACGTAGAAAATGCCAAAACAAATATCAGAAGAACATTGAGAACGGCGAAAAGACATGTCAAAATGAATTTATAGTCATACTTAACTTTACTAAGTCACTTCATAAATACGTTCGAATAATTCAACTTTTCAACAAATCCGTTTATGAGTCAATCATATGCTACGACTAAATTGTACCGACATAAAAATATCCAATCACTTTCATTAGACAATCATTATTTTAAGTTTCGCAATTTTTGTCCGCTTGTCAATTTTCACAGTGTTTTGTGATATTATTTATAATTTCGATATAAGCATTCCTTAAATACATCACGAGGATTACAGTGTACTGTACAATAAATATTATATGACTACTCTTCGAACGAACTCGAACAAAAAAACGTTCACGAGTAAGTAGTGATTAAATCCTCTACTCCTATTACAGTGGACCCTAACTATATTGCCATGGACGGGGTTGTAGGGGAGTAAAATGGCAATGAGTTCAGAGCCCTCTCCATGCTAAGGTCTATCGTCATAGCCTCGGCCTCAGCGCCTGCGCAAAAGCAAGATTGTGCTGGTGCGCCGGCGTACGCAAAGTGGTGGGAGAGCGAATTTGTGTGCCGAAAGTACGTGTGAAGTTGAAGTGCCACGTGTGGCAATATGTTTAGTGGCAATATAGTTAGAGTCCTTTGTAATATTCAACATATCTTTATATCAGGTCCGGACAACTTGTGGCCCGCACGGGCACTTCTTAGCATGTCTGAGGAGGTAACGTGTTTTTTGTAGAGCTGTAGAGTGTACTGTTTATAGGGGGACCTAACCTATATAGCGCGGCCCTAAATTCTTTCAGACTTGAAAGTTTACATGTTTCGAGCGTCAAAACGATAATTAAGGTAAAGAGTCACTCGTGTCAACTCAGAAAAAGTATGCGTCCTAATCCTTAAGAATTCTAGGTTTATTTTTACTAATACTGCAATTGTTGTTGAGCATGAGACGAAAGAGACATAATGCCGTGCAGTTTTAATTAAGGAGCGTGAGCAGGAATTTTAAATATGAATTCACAAATGGCTTCTGTAGCTTAAGAATCGAAATACAGTAAGGTCACCTTAACTGCGCGAAACTTGGGATCGCATGTACGCAGTAAGCGTGGACGGTCACCATTTCAACCACTCGTAAATTTCATGTCGAGTCTCGGCAACTCGCCTTTGTAAATATAATGTAATGCCAGTAACGACGGTCGCAGAAAAGGACAGCGATCGACAAAGGAAGACCGAGTGTCAAGGCAGCGACAAAGGTTTAAATGCGTATGTATCAGTGAGAGAACGCTAATGCAACTTTTGGCTGCCTCGACTCTTAGTTTCTCTTTGTTTCTCATTCGCTGTCCTTTTTTGTGGCCACAACAGGTGTGCGTGTGCAATAGAGTGGTCCTTATTTTTCAACTTCCGACGTTTTTTAGTCTTACCCTTCTAAATTGTTACATTTGTTGAGAAAATGGTATGTGCCAAATTTCAGAATGATTGGACAACGGGAACCCGTGCTGCATTTGAGTTACAGTTTTGAAATTTTAATGATTTCTCGTCAATTTCGAACATAATTGTGTTCGACTATTTTAGAAGTATTAGTGAATATTTTTTAATAAGAGTACAATTTCTTAAATGTATAATAGTAACATTTGTGTATTACTTCCAACAATATATTCAAAATCTTTGAATTGGTCGTAGCAGGAAACGTAACATACAAAGTAGCGTCTGACTCACGGCACTGCGCGTGCCAGCTATCTGGGGTGTAAAATCCAGTCATTTGTTTAGCGACCTTTACAGGTTTTTCCCTATAAAAGCCCATCTATTATAATAAAGAAATCCATTACCTAACTTTTGCTCGAAACAACAAGCGTTTTTATTCTTAGTTGAGAATTCGAGGTGTGCATATCGCAGTTATATTGAAAGAGAAAGTGAATTTAGAAAAATGGAAACTAGAAGTTGTGATAAAATATATTTGCTGAAGCACGACGAAAATGAAATTATTTATTATTATTATTTATTCGAAAAAAATTTTCCTGTTCTGAGTCTATGAACACTTGTACATCGTTTTTTACTGCCTGTACGAAATTTTGAAAACCATCTTTGGGCTTTTCTTACGTTTATTGCTTCATTACCGAACACATTACACATGTTTTGTCGTAAAATAAACAATGACGTAAATTTTCTTCACTCTTATTCCTTTCACTGCGTTGAATTATTATTTATAACAATTTTTGGCAGTTGAAACTATAACACTTTTGAAACAGTATACGTCTGCATTCAACGGAGGTGGAATTGCGACTAACACGTGTGACAGAACTGCGACAGCACAACGAAAATGTTAACACCCCAAATAGGACATGACATCTTGAAGACGTCCGTTTCACAGCTGTTTTAGGTCTAAGGCGTCTTTAAGATGTCTTCAAGGCGTTATTGGGCGTATTGTGCTATCTGGGACAAAGTATACGACATTACTTATCGAACGACCAAATCTCTTTCATTAAATAAAGAGTTTTATACATTGAATATCAAGAATTAATTATAATTAATTATAATCTCCAAAATTAAAGTAATTTTTATATACATACTTTAACAATTCATTTTGTACAAGAGATATAGGGTGAATAGTAAAATTACGAACTTTAATATGATTTCGTCATTACTTCTTACTTACGTAGTCGCATTTTCGACGCTCAAATTGCACTTTCATTTGTCAACATTACTTTTTAAACACCAGATACATACGTTTTTACATTACGTTTTTATTAAGAAAAAATAAACAAAGTGGCAATATTAGGGACATTGGGAGTAATTGGAAGTTACCAGTACATGTAAGTTACCCTGGTAAGCCTTAAACTAATATCGGTATGCTTACATAGTACTTTTATTTGTTGTTTACAATAATCAGAACAGTAGAAAGGATTACGCGAAATCACACAAACACATACTATACAGAGTGTCCCACCTAACTCTGCCACCCTTAATTATTATCTTATTTGTCACGGCACAAAAAAATGGTTCAGAAGAAAGTTATTGTATTTTAGGGGGGAAATTAGGCTATGAGATTCAAGGTCATATCTTCTTGAGATTTCCCTAATAGTTACTTTTTTTTAAATGGAATGCCCTATTTTTTTGTTTGCCATTACAAAGAGGAGATCAAAACGTATTCAACAATGTATCACACTATGATCTTGAAATAACATTGGACTAAAAATTTCGCACGTAACTGGTTGAGGTGGAAGCTCACAGAAAATGAATTACAGAAAAAAAAATAAACGCTACAATCGCATTATTTACACCCCATAGTGTGATGCATTGTTGGATACGTTTTTATCGCCTCTTTGTAATGGCAAACAAAAAAGTAGGGCATTCCATTTAAAAAAAACGTTGCCATTGGACAAGTCTTAGAAGATATGACCTTGAGATGACCTTCAATCTCATAGCCTAATTTCCCCCCTAAAATACACTAACTTTCGCCCGAACCATTTTTTTGTACCATGACAAAGAAGAGAATAATTAAGGGGCGGAGTTAAGTGAAACACCCTGTATATTCACCGATAACATTTCTCCATGCCTTTGAACGACAATACTTCGAAACTAAAAACATTTGATATTATCGTTTTGCCTTACAACCGCGCACGTCGTAGCTTATCTGTATTTTGTTTTATAAAACTCATGTATACTTTTCGAGGAATTAATTCTACATAATATATATGTATATAAAACGGTTACGTAAATTAATAATCAGTATGTATATTCCAACAAGTACTGTAATAAAACCTTTATAACAGGGTCTCGAAGATTATTTACTTGCCAAACCTTAACATTTTGTTACACTGCACAATCCAAAATATTTATTTTCAAGTAACAGACATATACTATATGATAGGAAACATTTATAAGTAACGAGACGTTACACCTTGTTTTTACGAACGGGATGTATCGGATGATCCATATCCGATAAATCTGGTGGATTCTTCTCGAAATACTCAATTTCTTGCATACCCTTTTCAGCTATTTCCCACAACTCTGGATATTTTCGTTTAAAATTATTGTACCATTTTTGTATACGAGGCCACTGATTTAATTCAAAATCAATTGCTTCTAGACACATGGTAGCGGTAATCAGTGGGAAATCAGCAATAGTCAATGTATCTGTTAAGAAAACATACAATTCCATTCAGTGCGTTTGTTCTTAATTGAATAACTAAATTACGTAGTATACGTTAACAAAATTCAATTGCTCTTTCGACTGGAAAAATTTACATGTTTATTCGAATGTACAATAAAATAATGTTTACTACAAAGTAAATACAAATAGTAAATAAAATATAAAAATATATTATATTTAAAGATCTCTAAAATTACAGATACTTACTCCCCGCAGCATATTCTGAATTTTCACGGTTCAGGTATGTATCGAAAACGTCTAAAGCAATTGTCATTTTCTTCAAACCCAAGGGAGTTCTTTCATAATCGAAAAATATGGGAGCCATCTGTAAACAATTTGTAAAACAATATTGTCAGAACCATATTTAATGATACCACTACGCGTTACAACGAACTACTTTTAAACAGACTTATTGTTAGACTAAACACGTTCCCTGTTATTAGTATCGAGGAGAATATAAGATTAATCAAACAAAATCTCCTTACTGCGAACAATTACAATTAGTACATACTTCTTTTTAATGACAATATATACTTCTAAAGAGTGTTATTAAGTATTATTGTAGTTATGCATTATTTTTCATGTATGTAGAAACAATAAACATCTTCGAAGTATTATTCCATTTAAATGATTGTTGTTTACCCACCTTTATATTTTTCTTGGAACCTCATATTGTTTCTTCTGTTGTAATTTTTAGTACACTGGAATTTCTTTTATCCGAATACTCGACTATTTCAGTAATTTTTTAATGGAAGATTTGATTATCCAAAAACTATAGTTTAAGTAGGACGAACAATAAATTTAAAAAGTACAGAAAGCAGACGATTTACATGTAAAAACAAATTGAAAATTTACAATAACATGTATTCTAAAATATCGATGCTATGGTGTTATTTATTATAACCCATTTGCAAATAATCCGATTAGAACTCATGCATTGTTACGAAAATTATGTTCTAGTATTTTAGTACTCTTTATTGCTTACATTAATATTGATATTCTAAAATATATGAAACTTGGCATTAAACAGTAAAGTCTTCTATTATTAGAAAATTCACATTTTCTGGAACTCGTATCCACCGATTAATTTGAATAATCAAAGTTCTGCGTTACCTACTGTAGTATTCTAATGGTTAATTAAAACTTTTCTTTCAATTTCTTACTCTACATTTTAGATACGCATATAGTCCAGGTACTTACCACATATTCGGAAATATTCCGATAGTACATTGCCAGATTGAAACACAAACGATGATTCACAATTGCTCGTGCCTTTGCATCCTTTGGGTACAATTTGCCGTCTATATCGTACTTATCACCGAGATATTGCAAAATAGCATTGCTAGAATGTGCATGTACAAAAAAATACGAACTTAAATACAATAGAGTCCCTCGTAACGGGTCTCTATGATACACAAATGGCCGATTAATCGGAAAATATATGCCAAATATCATTACATTAATAACTATTTAAACAATGTCCAATATATTAAAAAATACATTTAGTGATATACGCTTCAGATACGAGAGACCTGGCAAATGTTGTATGTACAGTAGGTAAAAGAAGTATTCGCACTCCCTTTAAAACAGAACAACATTTTAAAATTGAACTAAGTGACTTGAGTGTTTTTGTGAAATTAGAAAGATTAGTTTGCTAAATGATGTGTGAAAAATTTTTGAAAAAGTTTTAAAACTTTTTTATCTAAGACTGTCATGACGTTTAATAACGCCTTGAAGACAGCTTAAAGGCGTCTTACTGTTTGTCTATCTGGGATAGCACGTACATTTTTTTAAATAATTTTTTATAAGTAAAAGTAACTATATTTTCATATTTTATTAGTCTTGGGGAGGAAGGGGGCGACCACCCCGCAATCGTCACCTTCTGGATGCGCCACTGCGTAAAAAGTATTAACAGAGTGTCGCGTAATAATTGTGGTAAAAGCGGAAAGATGGCGATTTTACACGAAAAAATAAGCGAAAGATATTGAATAAAATTTTGTCATAACTCGTTTCGTTTTCAAGATAATTGTGTTTGAACTGAGTTTAAACTCAATTCTCTGGAAATGTAACGAGTTGCGCCAGAACTTGCTCTACCTTATTTATGATTTTTTTTTACCTACTCTTTTTACAGAACAGCCTGTAGCGTTAACTGTCGCTACCTGTGTCCAGGTAGCACATGACACTTTAAAGATGTCTATTTTACGGCTATATTAGGTCTAAGGCGTCTTTAAGCCGTCTTCAAGGCGTCATGTACTATCTGGGTGTATTTAAGTAACATAAGATGAACAAGAAATAATAATGTTATCTTCTATCCCGTGACTTATATTTTTCTAATTTTATGTGAATACCCTTTCACGAAAAATCATACCTTTCTCCCATAATTAAGTCATCATCAATTAAAACAGGTATTTCCTTTTGTGGGTTTAACTGTAAGAATAGTATAGAACAGAAATTATTTTCAGTTTATGTCAGAATAAATAACTGTTTCACTCGTAATCAGAAAACTGTATATACAAGGTGTTCCACGATAAAACCGACAATTTTATCCATCACATTTCAAAGGTACACCGAAATGATCGTAAACTATCGGTCCATTCCAGTTTGTCAAAGGTGTCAAAAATAATAAAATACTGCAGGCACTTAAATTTATACGTGTTTTAGAATTTCTTCTTACTTTACTTTTATGCTGTAATTTACATGTCAAGGCCTTAAACAGGTGTCAATCTAATTCTAAGTACAGACCGGGCTGAACATTAACACTAGAACCACCGAACCTTTGTTTTACAACTATTGAAATCGTAAAGCTGCTTTTGTCGGGATTTATGTTAATTTTTAATTTATTACACATTTTACATAAGTGTTAAAGGCCGTCCAACTTATTGCTAGAATGATCTGTCTAGTACGAGAAAATATGGTATACATATATCATGAAACAAGATGGTAACAGACCTGGGCACTTCTGAAATGATATTATTTGAAGTATTATTTCCAATAACATGTTATTTTATTTTCTAATCATTTGAAATTATTCTGAAAAGTAATTGTGAAATTGTTCTTTGAAATTATATCAGGTGACTAGGTCTGAGTTTGGTTTATTAGCATTTCCCTGAAGAGTAACACCCCTCTTCCATCTTCCACACTAGTGGAACGATTATTTTCTTTCGTGACAATATTAGACGGACTCAAGCTAAAATCTTTCACGGATAAGCTTTTTGAAGAACGGGTTCTGTTTAAACCAAATACTGTAAAGATTTCTTAAAATAAACTCCTTTTGGTGCATATTATTTTGAGTATTATTTCTTTTGCCAAATTTAATTACCAAATAAATTGCTATTATTTCAAATGAATCGATAATATATTTATTTTCGAGTAACAGATCTGGGTGGTACTATGAAACAGGCTGTTATTTCCAAAACTACGTTGCTCATTTGGCACACTAGCGTCTGCATCGTCAATTATGAAAGCAGCTTTTACATAAATCAAACTTTTCATAAGGCAGGTTTAATAAATAATTGAACTATTAATCATTATTGCGAAATGTAAAACATTATCCACACTATGTTTGACAATAATAAAATTAAATTTCAAAATGGTAGAATTAGTTCTTTCAAAATGTTTTCCCGTTGTCGAAGGTTATTGGATTATTCTGAAAATGGCATTGGTGGTAATATGAAATGGTAATAATAGTGAGGCGAAACATTCCACGTGTAAAAATCTGGAGAAGTTTGAGTTTAGTGGAAAATGTGTCAGGATTTTGCTCATATTTTGTACACTGATTGTGAAACTGATCACTTTTTTTGCGACTTATATTCATGAAGAACATAAATAGAATTTGAATGCAGTGTTTTCTCTTCAATTATAAAATATAGTTTGTATTCTAATTTCTAAAGTAGATTGTCTTTCTTTTACATATGAAAAACAATGGTTGTTTAATTAATAAAAAGCTAATATAACAGAGAAGAACACTTTTTAATTCGTTTCGTATTAGCACTTCGTTTCCACAAACCCACATTTTGCACTATGTTAAAACAGATAGATCTTTCAACGGTTTTATTTTGTATTCTAAGAACTACATAATAATAATACACGGAAATAGATGTGATGGCTAATGCATTAAATTAAAAATAATAAACATAAAACTTTATCCCAGATAGCACATGACGCCTGGAAGACACCCATTTTAGGGCTATTTAAGGTCTAAGGAGTCTTCAAGCCGTCTTCAAGGCGTCATGTCCTATCTGGGTATAGGTATTTATAAATAAAACATGCAGAAAAAGTAAACAATGAACACCTTGTACGTATCGAAATAATATACTTGTTCCTATAATACACATACTTGCATGTATTCCTCTGTCATGTGTTCACCTGTACCGAAATTTACATCCACCAATTCATATTCAATACCTAAAGCTTTTAATGCTTGACGACATGCAAGGGATGGTGGTCCATCGGAGACACTATAAAGCTTCATTATTTATCTGAAATATTAAATTCTATATATAGGAAAATACAAGTAAATATGAAACCCAGATAGCACATGACGCCTTAACGACGCCCATATTAGATCTGAGGCGTTTTTAAGCCGGCTGTGTGCTATCCGGGGAGTTTTATATTACTGTCAATACTAATATTATATCAAAGTTGTAACTCGCTAAACTTTTTACTTTTATGTATGGACAAGACGTTTCGCAACTACGGGTTAAAAAATTGCAAAATCAAAGAAACACACGGAAGAAATATCTTTTACTGAATAAACATATATTCCTTGTACTTTCATTTTCGGTAATAAGGCGCTGAATAATATACACTGTTTTATTATATGTATGTATAAAAACATTGTATCTAATACTTTGAATTATTGCTAAAGGTTATGCATGTACAAATCATTTACAACTTTAGAGGTAAAGGTGATATAGAAGGTGTAACAAAAATGATTAAGGACCCGGAAATGGGAAGTTCGTGAGATGATTTGAAACAAGTTTTTCTCTTAGCCAAAATGTTATCCGAGGCTTTGTTAGCGAGATATTAACGAAAAACCCCGACCAATCAGAGCGCGAGCCTAAGATTACGTTCATTGTGTGATACAATCTTAAAACTTCTCTTTCCTTCTCTCCTCGAGTATAGGTGTGATGCAATAAAAAAGTAAGTCTTTTGTTACAAATAAATTAATTTCCAAAATTAATCTAATTGAAAGCAATATTTTTCTTTCAATTATGTATAAATCAAATTATGTATTTAATGAAATAAGTACCTGTACTATAGTTTACTGTGAAACTATATTCTTCACAAATGTATATTTAATTAAGAAATCATTAGAACTGATCAAAGTACACATGCATTCTATAACTCGTTATCTTATTTTCATTTAGTTTCCTTTATACAAAATTAATTTATAGTACATAATATTCGATTAAATTTAAGATTAAATTAATTTTTTCAATTAATATAACACTTAAACAAAGTGAAATGGTTAAAAAAACATTTCTTTCTTTTATGTGTTTATAGATAGAATTTTAGAATCTGTTATCAGACCTTCAAGATGTACATTAAATGAGACACTCTGTCAAATAAAGTTATGCTCTGGTGAACACTGTGTGTGAGTTATTTAAATGAGTATTTAACATGTAACAAAATAACGACAAATTATTATTATAAAATTTGAATACCTTCATTTAAAATGTTAAATACTAATAAAATTAAACATGTATACTTTGAAACTTGTATACATGTATAATTAAAGTTATTCTTTTGAAATAGAAAAAAATGTATTCGATTCGTGGTACCTTTGACGAAAATTCTACTTTTTCTGATTATATCACACCTTAAGAAAATATCCTCATATTTACACAACTGTAGGGACCTAAATGAATTGAATCTGAACAATAAATAAATTAATGTTCTAAAATTAGAAATTGAACTATTCCTTCACTGTGCTAAAAAAAACATTACATGCAAAATTTGCTAAGAAATTAAATGTTATAAAAATTTATAATGAAGTGATCAGAAAGTATATACTTCAATGCGAAAACAAAATTTTAATATAAACTTTATATAGTACTTACCTGAAGTACAAAGATTTTAGTAGAGCCTGGAAGAAAAACTTATGATATATTCACGACGAGACTGAGACTGCTCTGCCTACCTACATCCCACATGTACGATACATTATTCAAAGTCCCTTTCACTCGGTTCATTTGTCAAGGTTTTAAGTGTAGCCTACATTTCACTACGGGCGTTTCGAATTTTTGCGTATATTTTTTATATAAGGACTACATGTTAAATACATAACAACACCTTAAATATTCAATTAATTAGAGAATCCTATAACGTAACTGATCTACATAAGTAATGTTCATGTATTTTCTTACGAGGGTGTAATTCTACTATTATTGCAATACCACACATATTATCAGTTATTCTGTATAATATCTTACATTTATGAAAATACAATAAACTGAAAAATAATCAATTCGGAATAGATCAAACATATTCAAACACTAATGAATTTAGAATAATAATTATGTCACGCCCAGCACTTTTCTTGTATACCATCGATTTGCTCTCAACAAGTATGCTGTAATTTTTGTTATACACTATAAAAAATTATTACAAAATTCCGTATTACAGTTTGTAACTAGTGTAATAGTATCTCAGCGTTTGAAAATGGCATAAAGTAACGGGCAAATGTTTTGAGACAAATACTTGTTCTAGTATTCGAAATTCGGTGTACAGAAAAGAGCATAATAAATAATACAGTTTATAAAATTTTATTAAATTCAACAAATAACAAAAATATTCAGACAATGATTAGAAAAAAAATTAATGATATCATAATTTCAAACAGAAAATAACATAACATGATTAAATGTTTTCTAGCACACTAATTTTTAATCAATGCCTGCCTGCCTCTTTTTTGGCATCAACTCCAATTTGTAGATTTTTTTAGGTCGAATATTGAGTCTGCTACTTTTTATATTCTATCTTAAATAATTTTTTTAAATACCTTGGTTTTAATACCTATTAGATACCTTGGTTTCAAAATTCGATTTCAAATAATTCCAAAAGTTTCCAGTAAGAATTAAATCTACATTTCAGTACAGAAATTCCTTTCTACGATATTCAACTTTTTGTCACACAAGATTCAATTGTTTAAAGTGGTTAGCATGCAGAAAAACTTATTTGTGTACTATATTTTACAATCTGTGTGGCAACATTTCTATCTCTAATGTATTTAAATTTAAAAACACAACGAAAGAAAAACACGTACGTTTATGTAAACACATTTATTGTGTATTTTATGTACATATAATACAGTTATTTGTACATTAATTACAGTATGTTATAAATATAACTATATAATACAGATTATTCAATAATCTACGTTCATAATTTAGTTTCGATGTCTATACGCAATAATTAAGAAAAATGTATCTGTAATCACTCAAACAGGAAACAATAAAAAAAATAAGACATGCTTCAAAGAAACTATAACTTTATTAACGTTAGAATTATTTATCGGATACAAAAATTCTATTGGGCATAAGCAAAAAAATTAGAGTGCATTTTTGGAACCTTCTACGCGTTGATTTTAGGTGGTAGATGTGTTTTCTACTACCAAAAGCTGTACTTTAGTTCTAATTAATGAATCTGAATGTGGGTCAAATTTATTTCCTGGACGCAGAAAACAAATCTTATAATGCAATAAACGTAACAAATTAATACAAATACCAAATAGCACATGACGCCACAAAGACGCCTATTTTGCGGCTATTTTAAGTCTAAGGCATCTCTAAGTCGTCTTCAAGGCGTCATGTGCTATCTGGGAGACAGAGTGATCGGAGTAGGATTGGGCCAGTTCAGCTGGCGGGTAGGGGGTTTGTAGAGGGGTGGCAGCCCCTCCCCAAAATAACAGACGACTTTCTATGCTGCCCGAAGTATGCCTAAGCATGGTATTTACAGTGGCCGCTCGTTAATTGGACACCCTCTTATTGCACATTGGCAACGCCCCACGCTCATACGTATTCCTACACGCGTGCGCGTACCCCACTCTGTCGCCCAGCACGCCCAGGATGGAATACATACGGTGTCGCGTTTAACTCGCTTATTTCATCTAGTGATGGGCACCATCGATTGAAAACTATCGACTAAGTCGATGGTAACCAACGACTACTTTCAGTCGACTAATTTTTTAAATCAGTTGACTGAAATAGTTGCTTCAAGCGACTCGCTCGAACTATCGAGCTATTGATCGCTATTTACTGGAACGTGATTATTTTCTTCGCGATTGTATGCATTACCTTGTAAACTAATCATTTACACTTCTCCGAAAAAGTCAGATCGTTAATTTCAAAAAGTTCATTCAATTGTTTAGAGGGCACGAATACATTCGTGCCTCTTTTACATTAATAAGAAATTTTAAGTATTAGTAAGAAAGAAGACGGACCAACTATAACGTATTATCTTGGAATTCGGCTCTGTCACTTGATAATGTAAACATCTAAAACTCTAAACATTACGGGAAACAGGGGTGGGCTAGTATTACTAACGAAAATAAAAGATTCGTTCTTTAATTCTTTTACGAAGATTTATATATTTTATATTTTACTGTTTATTATAAATAATATTAATACGTTTATTATTAATACTGATATAGTAATATTATGTAATATTAATTGATATTACTAATATTAATGTAAAAAAAAACAATAAAAACGCAAATGAATAAGGCGTAACTATTGTAAATGTGTACATTTTGCTTATGTTAATAAATTAATTACATCCTATAAAAAATAGTGTTTTATAATTACATTTATCCTGTCCTATAGTATTGTATAGAACTGACAACATTAAAATAATTATAAATTATTAAAAATACAAAAATTTCACTAAAAAATAACATACTTAACAATATTGAACTACATTTAAAACAGCAATTTTTCAAAACGAAAGAAATGCACAAAAAGCAATAGAAACTTTAACATCAGAAGTTCAGACTTTATTAACCAACGTACAAATTCATGAAAATACCTACAAATCCAGAAGAAGAAGAACGAGTTAATCAGAATACAGGATTTTGGAATTTTTATCTTGATAAAGTTTCCCATTGAATCAGGCAGTGCTCTACACCCTTAGAACTTGCAACAAATATTACAAGGCAATACTTAGATCTGCCCTACGAATATATTAAAAGTGATCCTCCTGCATTTTGGAATGCACATGGCCACACAATGCCTGAACTGCAAAAAATAAATTAAAAATATGTGCACCTGCAACATCTGTTCCATCAGAACGGATATTTTCTAAAGCTGGACAGATTATGTCAAAGAGAAGCAACAGATTATCATCAAAAAATTTAAATCAACTCATATTCTTAAATTTCAATATGGAATAACATTTCTTTACCTCCTGATAGTATTCAACGAGTAGAATCTGAAAATGCAAGTGTTAAGTGTAGGACTGCAGCGGTTCAAA